TGAACAACGTTAAGCAAAAATGCCTACTTAGGACATATAATGAGGAGTAATAAGTATGAATTTCTAAAACTTATAATAGAATGGTTAAAGAACGTTAGAGAATGGACAGAACTGGACTTCCTGGATTGCTGAGAAGCGCACAAGATGGAAATGAATTTGCCAGAATAGTTCTTCATTGAATGAAGCTGGTACCTAAAGAAGAAGACGTGGTACGGACACATGGAAAGAATTTCAAACCGCCGATGGCCTAAAAGAGTATTCCTTTGGCAGAAGAAAACGAGGAAGCCAAAACTAGAAAAAGTCATCTAACAATCGTAACATCTGAGGACTGTGAAAACTGATGAAACATTTTCAATTATTCGTTTCTAAAATTATAAACTGTTATTTCCCTGTAGAATTTTGTTTCAATCGACAAAAACGTTAATTAAAGCTTCACGTGACGAAATCCCGACTCTCGTTTTTGTAGGTTAGGAGTCCGTGTTCTCGGCCTACTTAAATCAAAAACGCGCGTCAACAATCGTTCCTCGAAACTCGGGGCGCGAGGCAAAATTCTAAAAATGTCTATGAGACTCTGCTCGGATAATGGCGCATGCCTTGGACATAATAAAACGCGATTATTATTATAAATAATAATAACGCATACCATTATGTTATATGGAAGTTATATGGTAATCGGTCACGCGCGGTCAGTCGCGAAGTTAACGTCCACTTAAGTTGTGCAACATGATAATTGTTCCGGAAGGTCGCAAGAGAGAAAATAAGGTCGCTTGACACGCATCTTTTAACCGGCCGGAGGTTAAAGCTATCGAGGTTTCTTTTAAATTATGCTCGTTTGGAGAAAATTCCCATTGTCGTTTTTATATGGCGACGGCGGAATGACTAAGCGATTTCGATCGTTCAAAATGATGCCGAACGCTTGTTGATAAACGCTAGGATCGACGTTGCTAAAGTGGGTGTGCTTAACATGGCGAAAACACCATTACTAGCCTTTATTGGCGATTCAAGAATTCGATGAGACCCCTGGCGCGGGAAAAAATGTTTAAGTATTTCTATTATTATAATATTAAAGGAAAAACTTTCCGGCTTCAAGTCCAAAGAGAAAATAACTTCCTATGTTTGATAGATGCCGCACAAGAAACAATTAATTACCAATAAAAATTAACGAATGTAAAAATATTACTATTTAAATCTACCCAGCATACTTTAGCAGAACTACATCAACATACTTGCACATTCCATCTTCTTGCAACTTTGCCAGGGCGACGTAAACTTGGCCCTTAATTTCACAAAGAGTGCTTTTATTTTACCGGCTGCCCTTTCTTGTAGCTGGATTCAAAATAAATATCTTTTTAAAAGTTCAGTATCTTTATGACGGTTCAAGCTAGAGCCCTTAGTATTTTTAGCAAACAACAGCAAACAGATTGGAATAAGACGTTTCCTTTGCATTTTCCTGTATTTGAAGGTGCTTTTCTCTGACAGTTTTTACTGAAATCAACCCATCCTCTGGATTCTGTATCTGGTGTATCAAACCAACATCAAATTATATATTTGCTCTCTGATCGAGAGTTAATAATTTTCTGAAAGCAATTTAAATCTCCAAATGCTCAATCTGTGTACTTCCATTACCAATTGTTTTTTGTCTTCTTTAAGAGGGTGGCTGGCGCGACTAGTAATTATATTGACTTTAGCTTCCAGCTTCCTTTTCAGTTTATCCAAAGTTTAGTATATTTTTCTTCCAATGTAACAATGGAGGTAGTAATTAATTTTGAAAAGCTAAGACGATATACCTTATAACACGCTTTAATCATAATGAAACATTTCGAAAAATGCTGTCTAAATAAGCAATGAAATAATTTGGTTTAGTTGTAACATTTTCCGTTATTATCTTACAAAATACACATCGGACAATTTGAGTCAACGTCAATTTTTCCGCGAACTGTTGATTCGATTTGGATATATTGGATTCTTTAATTGTACCCTAAATAATCAGAAGAGATGTTATGAAAAACATTTTTATTCAAGTTTAGGTTTTAGGCATATATATAGTGTTTAAAAAAACAGTTCTATAATCATATTCTGCCTGAATTTCCGTCAACATTATTAGGTGTCTGTCTAAACCTAATCATAGCTTCATCTTTTTTATTCGAGTCCTTATCTCTGTTATTAAACGAAATACGAAATACAATTTCAATCGAATAACGATTATAATGACAAAACACATTATGCAAAAATAGCACAACATTATTTAAATGAGACCTTGAACTGGCCTTCAAATCCATGCAGTCCAGACTTTAATCCAATAGAATATTTATGGGATAAAAGAGGTAGGCAGCTGAACGATTATCAACCCCACCTGCCTCCTTGGATCGTTAAAAAATTTACCATCAAATACAGATAGACTTGTGTATAAACATTGCTTTCAATTATAATTACATGTATAATTTGATACGCCTATTCATCTACGTGTTTTATTTTAAAGAATAATATGTTTTTGACAGTCTGCATTTGACAATTAAATTTTGATATTTAGGCTTCTAAACCAATGTCAAATGTCATTCCTTTTCCTACCAACCAAATGCCAACTTGATGCGTTACTTTTTAAACCGAATAATATTATTATAACATTTTGTTCCAGATTCCGGCAGATCTCGACAAGAGTTGGCACATTCCCAGACCCACACTAGCTCGTAGCTCTGAAAGTTCGCAGGGTTCGACGTCTAGCAAAAGTAGCACTCAGGTAAATCATCAATATATTCTTTTTATTTATTTATTTTTTCACGCGCTCCGACAAAAGGGGGGTTAAAAGAGTTACATCGCATTATTTGAGATAAGTGATCTGAAATCCGCAATAAATCTTCCTAAGCATCTTGTGAGCGTAAATTTAAAAAGTTCAATGATTTTCAATAAATTCTAGATGTTTGTCTGAATATATTAAGCTCTATATGTAAATGTATAAGAAATATACTACTTTTTGGTTATGTGTTTTTGTATACATATATAAATCAGTATTTTTCTATAAACTAAATAAACTGTTTCAAAATTTGTATTAATTTTTAATCAACTGTTTTACATGTCTTGTTTTACCCTCACTTTTGATTTTTATATTATTTTATAATTATGAATTATAATAACCTTCTGGAACAAATAATGCTCCGCCCTTATCAAAACCAAACCTCAAACCTCTACGGATATCTTCAACAAAGGCTTTCGCAATGTACATGACAATGCTCAGCCGATTTGCACAAAATCGATCAGCAAAATTCACGATATTATCGAACGCAATGCTTCCGCCTCCAAAGGTATAGAAAGTGAATATTATTATAACCACGATGTCCTTCTACTAAACCGCATCTTGTAATTACTTATGTATGTGAGTCGTATCACATATGTAATAAAAAACCTGGCCTGGCATTAACTATGTATTTATTATTCTCGCAATTAATGCGACTCCAAATTGTCTGCCGACTTCCATTTTTTTCTTTCATAATCGTTGCACGCTAATAATAATTTTCTTTATGCGGCTATTATATCAGACGATCCTGATAGAACTATTCGCGTTTTTCAAAATTGTTTGATAGCAGGACACATGAAAAACGTAATTTGTTAATTAACACCTAAAAACCACAAGTGGTGCCACTTGGGTTGCCCCACTATATAACTTAGCGTACTATATGCTGTTTAAAAAATATGTAGCACACAAAAGTACTATATTTTTTCCATTCAACGTCCACCACAAATAAAACTTGTGTTTGATGTTGCGTTCTATTAATGAAAGTACGCGTTCAGAGAAAAAAGTGTAAGTGAAGAGGCTAAACTTGGTCGTTGCTCAATTTTTCATTTGTGTTATTTCTCCCTTAGTATTTTTTCTTTCCTTATTTAATTTTTTGGCCGGAAATAATAATAATAATTTTGCCGAAAAAAAAAGAACTTCAAATGGTGACGAAAGAAAAAAGCCAAGTTTAAAATTAATAAAAAGTGAACTTTTAACAAATTTAAATAATTTTAAAAATACTATGTTTCATTTGAAAAAATTTGGCAACATTAGGCACAACGAGTAACTGTAGAACATTGTTTCACGATCCGTTTCCATTTCAGAGCGTCAGATCCGGCTCGTTGCTACTGACCGCGACGAATCTCGCGCAGATTCATCAAAATCAGCAAGAAGCCGACAACTCCCTGAGCACCAGAGACCAAAACATACAATACTACCTCGAACAATCTAACAGAGACAACGATCTACTGGCCGCACTGCCCAAGAAGAACCCCGAGCCTGACAATGCATCGATCGCCAGTTCGATGCACTTCACCGTTGTCAACGTAAATACCAGACAAAAGCAGCCGAAACGTAGCTGCTGTAGAAGGCATCAACTGACGATACTCGTTATGACCATGTCTGCCTTGTTCACCGTAGGCATATTGACCGCCATATTTCTCTTAGAAAGTAAAGCTCGACATGGATGAGGAAAGTTTAGAAGAACTAACGCGTGTTTTTTTTCTTTCAGTGAGAGCCAGAAATCGGAATCACTAACAGACTTCCCAAATGAGATGGTGTTATTTCCCAGTATGCGAGAACTTCCATCCCGCGAGGACGGCTATAGTTCTAATTTAGAACAATTATTTATATTTTATTTATAAGTTTAATACAATTTTATCCTGTTTAGCATGTAAAGTCCCAAAGCAAAAACATTAAAATAATGAAATCAGTTCTTAAGTAATTATCAGCGGTAGCAAAATTGGTTGTAATTTTATATGCCCTTTAAAAATTGCAAATTTAAAAGTGTATAATCAATATCCACCGGCAACAGCCTACTTTAATACTTAATTTATATAAAAATTACTGTGATATGTAAAGCAAGCATTAAACATAATGTTGTGTTGTACAGTATTTATCAAGGTATTTATGCATAAAAAAATTGTCGCATGCTCTGTACCGCGATATTGACGTGTCATATCCTTGTTTGTTTAAAATAAATGTATGAGTAAATCGCCGTTTTTTTTTGCTATGCATGAACCTGTCATCCTGTCATTATCACTAAATACAGTTTGACCCACTTACCTCAATATCCTGTAAGGTCTGAGTCCATTTGTACTTCTCCAAATCACACCCATTCCCTTTATTGGGCTTAAGTTTGCCTTTCTCCGACTCATCCTCGTCCTCATCGATTTTCTCAGATATAGAAGACTTTTCGGCTGTAGAAATGCTGCTGCTGCTACTAGATGACGGAACTCCTACCAAATCGTTCAATATCATTAACGCAAAAATGAGGCTGGAGAATCAATTGCGGCTTTACCTTTGTCTTTGTCGATTTCCTTTTGCAATTTTTCAGCTTCTTCCTCTGTAAGTTCTGTAATTTGGGCGGGCTGCGCCGCTTGTGCGGTCACCTGTTTAGCTTTTTTGGCGGCTTCTTTCTCCTTTCTTTCTCTGATTTCGGCCTCATGGTTGGAGCGACTGATTTTTTCATGTTTCTTGAAAGTATTCATCACAAGCTGGAAACATTATTTAAACAACAGGCACCTACAAAAGCGACAACCGTACCTACCTTTTCCCAATCGCCTTCATTTCCCCCGGTAAAAAAATCAGTTTTACGCCCCAAAAAGCTTACAAATGTATCGAGAAGCTGAAAATTGAAAAATTAAGGTAGAGGTTAGGATGCGTGATTCTGTTTTTTACCTGGTGCGGTCCCTCTGGATGATGTTGCGCGATTGTAAGAAAAAGAGAATCGAATTGCTCCGTTTGTTTACAGTCTCCGCTCATATTGTAACTCAGACTTCTTCAGAATCAACGAAATATATTTAAAATATCGACCAAACGTTTTAATACAAACTTGCAAGCCGGTTTTGCTTTTGACACAAGCACGGATTAGTTCATACAGATTTCGAGACACAGCATCGCCACCAGTCCGTAAAGAAGATGTGGTTTATCGCTTGTACATTTTATATTACATTTTTTCCATAAATATTAGAGGTGTATAGTTTTGACGGCTAACCTAATTTCGTGTATAAAAATAATAATTTATACATTTTTTCAATAGTTAAGCCTAGATTAAAATAACACAAAATTTGAAAGTCTATGATGGAACGTATGAGTTATGTGATTCGTCGTATGTCACTCACAAAGGCTTTGCGTCTAGAATCCGTTGTTTCCCATCAAATAATTTTCTTGCCTATCACACTATTACATACGTTTTTTAATCATTTATAGTGCATTGGCAAGCATGACTGGAACATACAACGCGTGACAAGTTGTTTATCTGTGAAGAAGAATTTTCAAGTGCGGTTTATGATGGTTACGAAGGAGTAATCGAGTCCTTCGAGTTAAATACGTGTTTTTCTTTGTTCAACATTCATTGTTGTTTCTGACTTAGCTTAAGTTTAGTTTGGAAAAATTAATTCAAGAACTTTATGTTTTGTTTAAAAAGTTAGGTTATGTAAAAACGCATAATTTCTTTTTCATTTTTCGAAGTATTGGATACTAATTGCTATGGCTGAAGTTAACAACACCAATAATCCCAATGTGATGAACGAAATATCAACTTTGATAAAAAATTGGGAAGACGAGAATGGTCAGCCCAATTATGACCCCATCCCTACACTCACTAGGTAACATTCATTTCAGGCCTATATTCATATTGCATTTGAATTGTATTTTTAGGATGGCGGAAATAATAGAAGTCGAAACCGAGAATTATTTAAAAATGGACCCTGATCCTTTTGATGAAAGACATCCTTCGCGTACAGATCCTGACTGTAAGTTGGGACAGATTTTAAAAGCCATGTTTCGCAAGGATAACTTTATGAGCAAAGTAAGCTTTTCTGCAGGAGTGTGATTAATATGAGACATTTGATAATGTTTCAGTTGCTGAATGATTATTTACGGGAGTCATATTATAGTCGGTCAGGTATTACAGGTCAGGACATCGACCAACTGAATATAGCAGCATGTCGCTTATTGTTGGACGTTATGCCTGGCTTGGAGACATCGGTAGTGTTTCAAGTAATAGTTAGTGTCAATGGTAGTTGCTTTGATGCAATTTCACTTTTGCTTTTAGGATATGGACGGCCTGATTCATCGACTAATAAAATGGACCACAAATTCTATTGAACCGCTCCAAAGCTACGCCACTGGGGTGCTAGCCGCGGCGATGGAAATACCAGAAATTGCCACCAAGTTCAGAGAACAGAACAGCAGATTGGTGCCGCTATTGATACAGAGATTAAAGCGATTGAAAAACTCGTCCGAGTTCTGTAAAAACTTTAACAACTCTAACACACAGCGACCCTTTGCCCATTTGTCTGTAATGAAATCGCCTCCTTACAGAGGAGATGGGATTATAAAAGTGAATTCCAATATGACTATAGGTAAGACCTCGAGTAAACTTGATTGACTGCAAATAATTACCCTGGGATAAGTTTAAAGGGGAATCATAAAAACATAAACGCGCTCTTACCATATTTGTGCACTTCAACTATAATCTGCTCATGAACAGCCCTTTATTGATAATTTCTTATCCTCACTCTCCTGCTAAAGTAAAAAAAGAGAGAAGAAAAACTGTCATTTTGGCTCTTTTATTTCAAGCGTCAGTCTGCGTCATCATGTACTGCTGTGACTCACTTTCATTATATATGGCCAGCTCCTTTTTTAGTTTCTATGATATATAGAATATAGCATTTCCTTGGGAAAGTAATCCTTAACAATCTTTTTTTTTTTAATTATTTCTGATATGTTTAAGATACCTCAATAAAATTTAGACCTCTAAAACTTAAATTATTGTGTTACACACACATTGCAGGCCAATTCCAGAACTTCAAAAAGTTAGTACGAGAGGTTTACAAGTAGTGTTACCAATTCAAGAATTTAAGCGCAGTACCTATAATTGAAGTTTCTGTAGTAAAAATAATTCTGGAAAATGTTACAACGCGCAAAGCAGTCTCAAAAATAATCTGTTATACAGGAAACAAACTTGAAAACTTTCAGATTTTTTAACTATCGCCCTCTGGAATAGGATAGGACTGTTAAAAACATCTGCAAATTAGTCTAAAATATCCACAGGCTTGTTCAAGACCTGACCTTTGAGAATCATGATGTTTGGTAAACCAGCAATCTCAAATTTACCTTTAATAAAAAACCAGGTACAACAGGTCCCTCATGACTTTACTGCACTCTCAAAATATATTGCTTATACATCATCCTACATCTCCTGTTTTCTTATAGTTCTTATGACATGTGACTTTTGCTTTAATATTTTTTATATACATTCGCTGAAATCCAAACCTATCTTAGAAATAAAAAACAATTTTGGGGGCTCGTTAACAGAACCCCGAACCACCTTTATTAGCGTTAGTTTTTATTATTCTATTTAGAAATAGTAGGAGCGTTTTTTGAAACACGCTGTATGTTAATATTTTTAAAAATCTATTAATTTTACTACAATGCTGATTTTGGTAAGTTAGTTCAAGAATTTCCACTAAATTTGTATCAACTAATCAAAAAGGAGGATAAAACTTCTTAAAACTTAGCAAATCGCTATTGTAGATTATAATCAACATTTAATAAGGTTGTCACGGATATGGGGTTAAACTAGTGGGCAAATAGAGTCCTAAACAAAATTTGAAGTACTGTTTTCGAAACTTTATTTAGAAAATCGCGGGACATGTATGTAAAGCTTAATTTTGGATTTTTAATATTAAATATAAGCGAATCATATTTTTTTCTATTTTTGGATAAGCAAAGCAACTTTTCAAAAAGGAATAGTCGTTTTTTATTTTAACAAAGCGGTAAGAGGTAATTATCAACAGAAGAATTTTGATTTTTTTTTTGAAGATTTTAATATTTTATGTATTATATTATAACTTTTTTTATATTATTATATTTCCTTTTATAATTCCTTGAAATTTGTAAAAAATATTTTTGTCGATTTTTTTCAATTTTGAAAAGTTTAATATGCGTACCACCTCTTATTGTTCGAAAAGACTCCAAAAAACCAAAGGCCCTTTCAAACTGTTACTACGATTGTCTTTCCAGCTAACGGTATCGCGTCGGAGTCGGTGGAAATCGAGGAAAACGCCGTCGACGACGAGATTTTAACGAACCATTCCTCGCAGAAGAGGAAAAAGAGCTTAGAGAACGAGTTTGCCAGCCCTCAGGTAACCATTTTTGATTAATGCTCAACGTAGATCTATCTGTTTCGCACCGCCGCAGTAATGCTAATGTCGTTGCTGTAAACATGTCAAAGATTGTGCTTTTATTGTCTGATCAAGTAAAGTTCTTGGATTTGCATTTGCATCACTCCGCGACTATTCTTTAGAAATTCTCAACTTTTTTGTGATAATTTGCTAACACAAACATTATTCTTTCCCATTGCTTTTCCTATATCCACACAGATTTGAGCTATAGTGTTGTCATCAATACAGAAAAATATGATTAGGACTACAGTGAAAACTATTATATAGTATATTATTTTTTACATTAATTGGAAATCATTTTTTCAGAAAAATGTATTAGTAAAAAGTAGTTTTAATTTCTTTTTTCATATTTTATTTTATTTGTAGCAGTACGCCAAATAAACAATTATTAACAAAGAATCATTTAAAGGAGTTTCTAAAGTTGAATCAATTGTCTCTCAAAGTTCTGTACTGACTCGTATCTTCTTTAAATACTTTGTTTTGTATATATCGCCATAAAAATAAATCTAAAACTGAAAGGTCTGGAGATCGTGGAGGCCATCTTACAGATCCGCTGGTATCTATGCTTTTTTGAGGTTGTCTTCTAAAAATGGTCTTAAAAGTCCAGACTTTTATGCTTTTATTTTGCAGACTACTTAATGTACCACTTTCTATAGAAAATTTTGAAAAAGAATTAAATATTCTAAAACAAATAGCTTTTAACAATGGTTACGACACATCTACTCTGAACTCTATCTATCCCATGTTAAAAACAAAATTTATAAAACAATAAAATACATACGAGAATCTAGCAAGAAATTTTCGAAACATCCATCTAAATTTGGTATTAATATTGCTTTTAAAACTGAAATTACCATAGGACATTTTCTAAGAAACAATAAAACTAAATTACGAAAAACTCAAAAATCCGGAGTTGAAATGTGGATCTTGTCCCAAAATTTATATCGGACAAACAGGTAGAACATTTAAAAAACGCATTGACGAACATAAAAGGGCGTATTAAAATAAAACTTCAGATTGTAGATTTAGAAATACACAGCTTTGAATATACTTTTGATATTTTACATAATCATTCAAAAAGCAAAAAACTAAAATATGACCTATTTTATTTAATTGATTGATTTCATAATTGTGACGTATGTATTTGTCAGAATAAGGGGTTGTAGAAAATCGACAATTTTGCATATTGCATATCGAAATTTTAAAAAAGTGGACGTAATTTTATATTTGCAATTTTCAATTTAACGTTGATCCCACGGATTCTAGTATTCTCTGCTTCAAAAATTGTCGGTCATTTTCAATGGGTCTTTGATATGTGACTTGGTTAAGACGCCGCCAAAGAAACATATCGCAAATTATCAAAGGCGACCATAAAATTGTACCATTGCAGCTTAAAATACATATTTTGATGGTACTGAGTACACAATTCTTCCAACTTGTCTGATAAATATGTTTCCAGCATTTGCAATAAGAATTTGCGTTACAAGTGTTATCAAAAAAGTACATTGAGTCCATAGAAATATTTCCTTTTTTAAGTTTTGGCTGATTTTCTTTTCTTTACCATCTCACGTGTTGAGTGCCATTTATGCTAAAGGTTGACCTTTTATTGCGCCTTAACACATTTTCATCATATCTTTTCTTAGTCTCTACATTACTAACA